TTAAGGTTGGTGAGGCTTACACCTATCTAAAAGGTGATGGAAAGGATTCCAAAGAGAGGGGAGATCATTGAGGGTTCATTGGGGAGTGAACACAGGCTACAGGTCTGGTTCCACCACTGTCTGAACTTGAGAGCATCATTTGTTCTGTCTGGACTGTGGCATCTTTATCTGTAACTTGCAGGGCTCTAAATCTTTGGTTTTCAAACTGCACTGCTCAGAACTGTCTCAGGGCACTCAGCTTCAGCCACAGCAACTTGATCTCTCTCTTGTGTTTTTAAATAATTTTTAATTTCTAGCAATTTAATACATGTAAATACTTTGGAAATGCAAAATAGCAGTAAAAGAATCTTAAGAAAAACAGCAACCCCTGTTCACACCTGCTCACTCTCAGCCACTCCCAATTCTTGTGATATTTATGCCAACTTACGTAAATTAAAGTCTCATCTCCATGTTTCTTAAGTGTAGGCATGTATTGATTTCTGTCCCATCCTATGCTCACTTGCCCTGATTCTGTTTCTTCCGATGTAATGCTACCCCAATGTTTGGTTAACAGTGTTTTCACTATTATCATCATGCAAATATTGCTCACCAGCTCTGTCTCCCTTTGTAAGCAACCTGTCATTTCTCCTGCCAATAACATTTGCCTCTTTTGTCTTGTTTGCCCTGATTTCCATTAATGATTGCTATTTTTTTCCTGAATGTTCTTCCATCTCAAAAACCTACCAATATTACCAATATACTCCACATGCTGGTGTAATCACAAGACTTCCTTGGAGGCTCCACTCCCAGACACCTGCGTGGTCTACCATGGAGCCTCTCCCTGGCACTAGCTTTGACTCTTGGCTGTGTTGAAGCCGTGCCTTCTGCTGCCGTACCTCCCTCTTTCTTGGTTTATGCCCTTATTCTGGTGCAGCCTGTCCTCTAGTGGCATAGGAGTCCGTGTTTTCGAGTTCTGCATAACTGAAAATCTTTATTCTCCATCCCATTTGATTGATAGTTGGCTGGTTGTAGAATTCTGGCTTGCAAAAAAAAAAAATCCATTGAAAAATGGTAAGGTCATTATTGTTTCATTTCTGTTTTCATTGTTGAGATGTCAGATGCTACACAATTTCCTACCCCTTGAACCTATTGGGTTTAAAGCTCTTGGGAGCTTTTTATTTTTGTTTTTATCCCTTCATGTCACAGGGATGTGCCTTGTTTTGGTTCTTTCTTCATTCATTTTTCTTGATACCTGGTAGGTCCTTTTGTTACAAAGACTCATATCCTACGTTTCTAAAGAACTCTCTCAATTTACATCTTATAATTTTCTCCATTTCACTTTCCCCATTTTCTCTTTCTAGAGCTTCTTTTAGTTTAATATTGGACCTTCTGGCTTGGCCTTCTAATTTTATTCTCTCTCTCTGTCTCTCTCTCTCTCATGGAAGATTATCTTGGCTTTATATTCCAACGCTTCTACTTAATTCCTTTTACTTATCCATCCTTTATTTAATTTCTAAGGTTATTTCCTTTTTTATAACCATTCATTCTTGTTTCATTGATACATTTCTTCTCTTTTTTCTCCAAGGACATTCTCTCCCCGCCAATCCTAACTATAAATCCTGCCTATCCTTGAAGGTTCAGCTCAAAATCCATATCTTGTATGAGGCCTTCTCCAGTCAGTTCAAATCTCTCTACTAAACATGAATTCTATAGCTTTATTACATTCTACACCATTGAATGAATATATGATTATATTTAAACTTACACTGCTTTCTGTTGAGGAAATCAGTTGTATCTCCTCAATCGCATTATAATCTCAAGAGCAGGGAGTGTTTACTTGTTATTTTTTAGTATTTTATTTATTTATTCATGAGAGACACAGGGAAAGAGAGAGAGAGAGAAACAGAGACACAGACAGAGGGAGAAGCAGGCTCCATGCAGGGAGCCTGGTGTGGGACTCGATCCCAGGACTCCAGGGTCATGCCCTAGGCTGAAGGCAGACGCTAAACCACTGAGTCACCCAGGGATCCCCTGTTTACTTGTTCTGTATCAGCCATAGTACCTTGTCTAGAATTGTGAATATAACAAGTGATAAACAAGTGCTTACTGATTTGAAAAAAAAAAAAAAAAAGATTGGCCATCTAAATCCACCAAACCAGGCTATCCTAGTGAGTGTTCTTTAAAAAAAAAAAAAAAAAAAAAAAGATTTGATTTATTCATAAAAGACACACACAGAGAGGCAGAGACGTAGGCAGAAGGAGAAGCAGGCTCCCTGCAGGGAGCCTGATATGGGACTCGATCTCAGGACCCCAGGATCACAACCTGAGCCAAAGGCAGACATTTAAGCACTGAACCACCCAAGTGTCCCTAGTCAGGGTTCTTTAAAGAGTACCAAGAGCATAAGTATTTGCCAAATAATATGTGTAGAACTTACAGATTTTTATAATTTTTCCAGTCTTTCACAGGGTTTCATTCATATCTAATTCAAGGGCAATATTTTAGTGACTTACTTTTATTGACTCTTCCCTGAAATGCTCAGCTCAGATTTCATAGGAAAAACACAACTTTCTTTTCTCACTCATATTTCATTAGTTTAGGAAATATTTAATAAATTATGCAATTGAAATAACCAAGAACAATTGGCACAAGCAAGATTGGAAACAAACAACATCTAAAACTTGGCCAAACACATGACTAAGTTGGTAGGAACCAAAGGACATGGGCATGCTGAAGAGTAACCTACCAACCTTGGGCACTTAGCTGCCGAGGAAGGAAGGGCATTCAACTGTCGTGTCATTTAAATGGAAATCAGTCAAGAGAGTATCTATTATATTCTATTCTCTGTATAAAAAGAAGAAGTATCTGGAAGAAATGAATTTGTGCTCATCATCTATCTTGGGCCCCCTTGCAATCAAGGGTATATGTGGGCAACCCAGCTGACACAGATTAGTGTACAGTCTTTGGTCTGAAAGCAACGCTAGGCTTACTGGCTCGGGGGCCAATCATCTCTGTCTCCTTAGAACCAAGATCTGCCCACTTGAGTTGTACTCCTCCGTCATGAGCCTACAAAGGGCCAACAGAGCTCTGCTGGGCCCAGAAATCTTACCATTTCCATTTCCAGGATGGATCTCTCTTCCCCACCACTTCTACAACCATCACACCTTGGAAGAATCACACGTAGATTCTCAGAGAGGACATAAGGTTGCCCAGTTGACTTTGGATGGCCCCTGCCACAGTATGAATCATTTCTTTTTAATATTCTGGGGAACTTGGAAATCCTATTGGCACTGTGGTCCCTTAAGAAGGGTAACCTCTAAGTAGAGTAAAAATAGGTTGACATTAGGGGGCACCTGGACTAGGTGTCTGACTCTTGATATCAGCTCAGATCTCAATCTCAGGGTCCTGAGTTCAATCCCTGCTTTGGGCTCTGTGCTGGGTGTGGAGCCACTTTTTAAAAAGCGTAAAATAGGTTGACATTAATGGCAGGAAAGATTTGTATTTCCTGTCGATCATGCTGAAAGGACTGGCACCACTTTATAGCTTCTAAAAATCACAAGTATGAAGGAAGCCATCCCTGGTCATTGTCTTTGAGGGAGAGAAGATTGTTCTATGAACAGGCACCTGAGAGAACCCCATATAAAATATTGCATTTAAATTGTGCAGCAAGAGAAATACCAGCCAATCAGATGAGAGTTTTGTCTACATATACATAATCTTAGTGATTCAAATGTTTTCTCTGGTGCTGGTTTAAAGCAACATAGGACTCTGAGTTCAGTGAAAGGTAATGAACTTCCTGTTTCTTCTGTGGCTATCCCACAGTCAGATAATGAACAAAGGTTGATTTCAGTTTGGACTGATGATAAGAACAAATTAAATTACATTTTAAAAGTACTCCAAATGCCCTTCTACTCTTGTTTTTAATTTTTCTCCTTTCCTGCTGCTTTTTAATCTTAAGTGGCAGAGGCCACATCTGTTCTTCCAGACTAGGGTATTTGGCTTATTCTAGTTTTATCTTTTCTTTCACTGACTCCCATCGTCGCTCACTGGTGCATCAGCTGCACTGGGCCCTGTTGTGAGTCTGGATGTTGGCAGCCATAGGACCGCACTCCTTGCCCATCTGTCTTCTAGTCTGGCTGTGAGGACAGCAGAACAATGACCTTGGCTCCCCAGAAGTGCAGGTAACTGTCTGTAGACCAAACTTTTCTCAGGAGTCTCTCCACTCTAAATACCCCCTGGTCTCTTCTGCTACCTTCTTCTGTGAGTAGAAGGGTGGCTTTGTTTTTCTGAAATGGTTTTTCGTACACTGGTGGTCCTTTCCCCTGGAGTCCAGAATGGCATCGAAAACATTCCTTCTCTACCTGTTTCCTCTCTGTTCAGATGCTGAACTCTTGGATATGTGCTAAGTTTCTCAGGTGGCATGGAGACATGAACTTCCCTGTGGTGGAAAAACAGATTCTAAAAACAGCCTCATGGAGAAAATGAACAGAGCATTAACACCAGTTGTATCACAACCAAAACGTATTAGATGCACCCAAGAATTGACTGCCCCTGCCTGATCACAAGACAATTCCAGCTGGAGGCAAACTGTTTAAAAATATGTTTCAGTGAGTTCTCTTCAAGTATGCTCCCCACCGCCCCCCCACCCCGCCCAAAACAGAGGTCTAGTGACTTCCTTCTCTTACCAAAAAAGTGACAGTTCCTGTCAGTTGCCATGGAACTGGGTCCTCTTCAGGTCAGACAATCCCAACACTACACTGCTTTCTGTCTAGAACCATTGGTTCCAAACATAGTACAAACAGAAGGAATAAATCTATGATGTCAGGTCACCGTGGGACATTTTCTTCAATGGACTAAAGGAGTAGATCAAAGAGCTATTTAATAGATGTTCATAAAAAAATAATTAAAAATAAGAATAAACAACTCCCCCCTTCCTAATTCGCTTTAAAAATGGGTATAGGGAAAAAAAATGGTCTGTCTCAATCCAAGAATATAATAACACTGCCTCTCTTTCCTTGTTTTAGGGAATGCTGTCGATTTTTTGGAGACAATGGCTTGACTTTGAAGGTGTTTTTTACCAAGGCAGCACCCTTTGGTGTTCTTTGGACACTCACAAACTACCTGTACTTACATGCAATAAAGAAAGTGAACACTACGGATGTCTCCGTGTTGTTCTGCTGCAACAAAGCTTTTGTGTTCTTGCTCTCATGGATCGTTCTCAGGGACAGGTTCATGGGAGTGAGGGTAAGTTCCTTATTATCTGTCTTCCTCCCTCACTGGGTCATGTCAACCAAAACCTGCCCATTGGCTTGCTTAGCTCCATATGCTGTATCATAAGCACAAACTGCTGACCACTCTCCTTCTGATTTGCAGCAGAGAAGGAGCCCGGCTCTCGGTGTGCCTTGCAAACTTTCTTGCTTGCAAACCATACTCGACAAGCATTCATTAAAGCACCTTTCATTTCAAGCATTTCAACAAGCATTCCCTAAAGTGTGTGCCCGTCGGGGACCCAACCTGGGGATGGCAATGAACTCCCCTCTGTGCGTCCCCTCCCTGCTCTGTCACGGGCAGCAGCGCCCTGCAGCCCGGAGCTCTGTGCTAATCCTGTCACTCTTTGCTTAGGATGTATGTGAAAGCCTGGGGAATCCTTCTGCATCCACACGGACGCACCGTCTGGGACGTGTGTGAGCTCCGTCTGGACTGTGTGTGCAAAGACAAGGTGGGCCAGATAGGCTTGTGCTAAATCCAGATGGTGGAGGGGCAGGTTCCTTTCCTTCACACCCCAGGCGAGGGGAGAGTGAGACTGTCCTCAAATGACCTCTTGTCGTTAGACTCAGCAAATCCCATTAAAATCTAGTCAAACTCCGCTAGTCAGATTTCCTAACAGTGGTGTGAAATAGGATTGTGCGACAGATACAGGGACTCACCCTGAATAAAAGGAACCAGGTGACAAGTTCATTTCAATAGAATCCTGGTGACTTCTGCTTGTCTCCCTCTGGTGGCCAGGAGCTGCTACTGCCCCATCACCCCCTTGCCACAAACAGGGACAAAAGAGGATTGGGCCCTGCAGCCAGTTCTCTCTGTAGTCAGGGGGGCATCCCTAACTGCTCCTGCACTGTCAGGCCATGTGGGCCTGCGACGCAGCTGAGAGCCCTTTGGATGGGCGGTCCCATTCCAGAGAGCTGTGCTGGCACCTGGCAAGGGGCAGACTCCAGGCCCCCTCTTGGGTCCTCTGCTCATTGTCCTGCGAACAATGACATCACCCTGGTGGAGGATTCACACCCACCTAGTTACTCAAACAGCAGTGGGGACATGAGTCAACTGCTGAGGAGTATTTTTAGTTTGCAGTAGGGGGAAAATTTGTTTTGAGGCTTAGTGTTTAATTTTGGAATAAAAACTCACTCACTGTGCTAACCACCCAGAAAAGCTTCCGGCAAATAAATGATCTAATACATCTCCACAAGAAATGCAAGTAATCTTTCCAACAGCCTCCCTGCCTGGACTCTGGAGAGTCAGGAGTTCTGGTGCCCTTTGTGCTTTTATTTGGATGCAAAATGCCAAGGGAATTCATGAAACTTTCAGCAGGACTCTGATGTCCAGAACAAATTTCAGAGGAGACCCTCTTCACGGGGAAGAGAAATTTCAAGGTGAATTCTGCCTCTAAGCAGGATTTTTTTTTTTTTTGAGGTTAAGAGGAGGGGTTGGAAAATACTTGAAGCCCTCCTAGATTCAGAGAACAAAATGGCACACTCCGATCTTTTCTTTGTTGCTCTTCATGGATAAGAGGGTTTTCTCCCGATACCCAGGAGCGGTGAGCCGGCCTAGCCATCCATTCCCCTTCCCTGAGGGCCTGAGAGTCAGAGAGAAGATGAAGGAGCATCAATATTATGTTTGTGGGAAGAGGCTGCACAGAGCACCTGTGTTTACTAAGACAATTACTCAAATCACAAAGGCTGTGGTTTCTGCGAAGCATCAACTGGTCCAGGTCCCACGGACTGACCAAGAAGCAGCAAACATATCTTCTCCTGCTGGAGAGATCCCGGCCAATTACGGCATCAGAGGCAGACTGTCCAAAGGAGCCCAGGTTGGCCGCTGCGTCACCCTTCCACTCTGTGCTTAGACGTGCTCTCCGGGTGTTCCCTGGCTCTCCAGACTAAGGCTTCCTGATGCAATAGGGAGGTGCTCTAGTTTAGAGTCTAGTGATGAGGGCTTGAGTCTTGAATCCACTCTTATAAGCTGTTGGGCCTTGAGCAAGTTACTTAATGTCTCTGAGCCTCTGTGACCTCATGTTAAAATAGGTTACTACTCATTTTAGAGAAGAGTTGTGAGAATAAATTAAAATGATGTATGCCTGGCACATAAAATTTGGTAGCTGTTCTTTCTCAGTGTTATTTTTCTTGTTCCTTCTCCCTTGGAGGGGCCTGTTGGATCAGCCCAGCTCTTTTGGTGAGAGTGTCTGAAGCTGGCAGTTGTCTAGGGAGGCAGTTTTGTGGAGCAAAAGTAGCAGTAGAATGAGAACAAATAGAAGTCTGGGGGCATGAAGTATGGCCTCTACTAAAGCCGAAGCCCACCCAGCTGTTGTCAGCAGCTGGACAGAGAAAGGGTGGGCTGGTTGAGACCATCCCTCACCCACAACTCAGGGAAAACAGAAGATGGGAGCCTGTTTGCTGAGCAGCTGATCGTAATTGCCCACAGTAGTCAGGGCTCTCCAACCAGGAGGGACCGATGCAGGAGAAAGGTGGCACGCTGAGAGATTGTTCCCATGGGCCCTCGAACCACCCTTCACCCCCAGCACATTCCTGGGGAGCCTGTGCCTTTTCCAGGACCAGTTTCTATCTCAGATTCTAGCCCATGTTTTCAACAGTTAGAGCACTCTCATTGTCTCACGAGGGGCCATCCCTGAACCGGAGCTCCAGCGTCTGATCCCCACCACCTTTGTGTTTGATCCCCACCTGAGATGGCACGGGATGGGGCACAGAGCATGAGGGGAGCACTGGGCAGCTCCCAGCTGGCCCGTTCCCATGCTGTGAACTCAGAGGGGTCAACCTGAAGATCCCCAGCAAACTCTAATAGTCTGAGTGGCTAAGAGCAGCCGGGAGCTGGGAGGGGAAGTGTCAGGGGAAGTGTATTTAAGATTTGTCTTTTCCATTTCCCAGAATTGTCCTCAGACTGCACACATCCCCAGGGCAGCACCTGGGGCTTGGTTTGGTGGCGGACACGCAGCCCATTACAGTGAGCGGAGAGGGGAGCAGTGCTGTCTGAGAGGTGGTCGCACTGTGCGGCGCCCACCTGTCTCGTTCTTCCGTGACACCCAAGGGCTTCACCTCCTTCCCCTTAGCCTGACATCGGAGAGGGAGCAGTGTGGCCATGGGGGTGCAGGGTGCATCACGGGGTTGCTGGGGCTCTGAATCCAGAGCTCTGGGGTCCGGGCAGGCTCCGGTGGGTTCGCCATGCGAGGTGAGGCCACCACGCTGGCCTTGGTGTCTCCTGTGCCTACACTTCTTTGCCTGCAACAGAAGTAGACACAGCGGCTCTCGCCCTTCTGGGTCCCAGGACCACTGTTGCCCATCGGTCTGAAACCCCGAGTCCCTGCTTTGAGACAGGTCAATGAGATATGTAGAGGGGGTGGGGAAAGGTGGGAGAAGGGAGAGGCAGGGGGAAATTCAGTTGTTTACTTTTCTTAATTTTCTCCTCAAACTCAGCATTCTCCCCCAGGGACACCCTGATCTAGAAGATGGAGGGGCGTGTGAAACCAGGACGGGCAAGACTGGCCTTCCTGGAGGGGATGTGGTAGTGCAGGAAATAGGCAGCAAAACATTTCCACGTGTAAACCAAGAAACCCCAATACATTATGATATAAATGTACAGTGTGCGTGTAGTTTTTAATGATAGCATTGGGATCTTGAAAGGAATGTCAGACTTGATGCCCCCCAAACCCATACAGCTCTGCTCTGCTGTCAGGGGCATTAAGGTTTAATGTGTCTAGCACTTTGGGTGAAACCCAGGCTCAGGGCTGCTGGTCCCTGGAGAATGGGTGCCCCACGATGGAGCAGGCTGATCCTATGGCCTAGGTAGCAGGGACTCCCAAGAGGAGAACTGGAGGTGTGAGCAGGACCACCACAGTCCCCTGGTGCCACCTGTCACAATGAACTCTGGGCACCTGGGCTCCTCAAGGAGGACTGGACAGCTCTGCCTCTTACCCCTCCAGCCCCCTGTGTCACAGCACAACCCCAGGCAGGGGCGGGCTGGGGGGGAGCTTGTAGCCCTTTATTATTGAATCAGTAGAGAAGATAGAGGAAGAGGCTAGAGACCAGCCTTGTAAGTCCTGCAGGGAAAATAAACCCCTGGGTTCCTTCATTTTCTTGAAACTTCAGCCCCAACTTGAGTCCAAAGATTCAAGTTCCTGGAGAGGCACCAAATCATCTGAAATTCAGGTATATTCTTCCCTCCTTCTTTTTCAATTTTTTTTTCTCCATGTGGACCTCCTTTGCCTAGCCAGGTTGACCCGTCTCAAGCAGCATCTTTGCATTATATGTGTCTTCAGAAGCCACCTCTTTCCCAACCTGCTTTGTCACTTGCCCCTTTCTTCTCCTGGAAGGAAGAAAAAAAAATGGTTATGGCCTTACTATCTCCGTTTCTTTCTCTTCACAAACAGTTGTACCCGGTACAGGTAGCATTTGAATATGAAACATAATCAGTGTGTGATGCAGAATGCGGCCTCTAACCAGTGAGTTACGAAACCAAAAAGAACAAGTAGACAGACCCCTGGCCTGGCACTCCTCTAGTAAATGACCATCACTGCTCCCTCCAGAGCCTCTGTGTTACATGGGCACATTTATCACTACATGAAAATATTGCACGAGGAATATACTAGAAGTATGTAACCCACTGTGTGAGACTCAACCACATGGCCTTTCACTAACCTGAAAATGTTATGGTTAAGCCACAAAGGAAACCTCATTTCAAACCTCAGAGTATAGTTGGCGGCGGCGTATCATGTGAATCATACTTTCCTGTTTTTATATATATAAACGCTGACTTTGCCATCAGACAGACCTGAAATTCTACATCCCCTGCTCAGTCACATACCAGCTCTGTGACTTTGGGCAAATGACATAACATCTCTGAGCCAACATTTTCGTGTTTACAAAATGAAATGAATGGTAGTATCTACCTATTTTGAAGATCAAGTGAAAAAAAAAAAAAAAAAGATCAAGTGAGAAAAGGTGACCAATTAGTAAATGGTGGCTCTTTGAGATTGTTACAGGATGCAGAGGTCAATTTTGAATGATCTGTTAAGAGAGATAAAGCTCTCGGTGAATCCAGTAGTGGAAACACATGTCCTGGCTTTCCTGTGTTCTGCCTACGGCACCCCCTCCTCACTTCGCACCAGCAACATTGACACAGCTCCATGACCACCTGAGGTTAGAACGTGGATGTATTCTCTGTGCATTTCTCCTTTGCAAAACATTATCCCAAGTAGTTAGCATCCTGTGTAATCGGACAGTTTTACTTTGCACAGCAGCAGGAATGTGTACATCTCCCAGGAGCATCCATTCATCATGAGAAGTCTGTGTCTGGACAATAACAGGATTAAAGGGGGTGCCATGGGAGGATGGCTCTGCCACGGCTAAGAAAAGGAACAGTACCCCCGGGGTTAAGACACCGTAGCCCTTTGGCATGTGACACTCACTCCCTCAGAAGACCCTACTGCTGGCCTGTTAAGTGGAGCCAAGATCTGTGCCCTCTCTGTTGAGATACAAAGTACCCAAGAGCAAGATCACATGAGGTGCTTTCAGAAGGTTGGGCAGGAACCAGGGTCATTCCCAGGTTTGGTCTATCAAACCGTGTCAGGGCCAGATCCCCCTGCCGTTGGCATTATGACCACCTCCTCCGCAGCTTCCAAGAACCACAGAGACCATGTGGAACCACCACATGATGCTGAGCCACAGCACATCTTCTTGCTGCCAACTGTTCCAGGTGGTTCGATCACGCTAAGCTTTACTCAGCAAGAACAGAAATTTGGTTTGTTCTCCAGAGAACTGGAAAGGAGAAGCCACTCTTCCCTTGTATCACTGACCTCTTCCGAGAGTGTCCATCTCGTTGGCCCTAAGGTGGCCCATCAGATTCCTCACCACCTCCCTCACCACTGGTTTCTCCCCCTTCTGTGCAGATTGTGGCTGCCATCCTCGCCATTGCTGGGATCGTGATGATGACCTATGCAGATGGCTTCCACAGCCACTCTGTCATTGGCATAGCACTGGTGGTGGGCTCTGCATCCATGTCTGCCCTCTACAAGGTAAGTGCATGCAGAATAAGCTCTCTGGGGTGGCCCATTACATTTGGGGCATCTTTGATGGCACCCGTGCTTTCAGATGAGCAGCTGTTTTCAGCATGCAGACAGACTTGCCGTGATGAGGCGTGCACCTGCTCTTGACTTTGGCTCTCTAGACCTTTCCATCAGTGGCCATCTCTTTGCGGCATTGGGGATGAAATAGGTGGGAGAGTGGATGGGTAGCATCAGATTTTAGTGTAGTGGCTTCAGTGTTTGGCAAGGACTGGAGAAGGATCGGGGGGGCACCTGGGGGGCTGGCTCAGTGTCTGGGGAAATGACTTCCCACCAGGTCTGACACAAAGATTTAAATATCTGGTGCAGCCTTGTCTTTGAAATCTTCTATCACATGGTTTTTGCAGCTACCAGTACCCAGCATGGGTCTGTATGCACTTTAAGCATTGCCCGTAGGCTGAATAAATAAAAGCCCAACTACTGTGACACAGAGATTATAACATATGTTTGACAAAATATTGGGAAACGCTGGAAGGCATGTCCCAACTGCAGCTCTGGATGACCCCGTCCTGGATCACCACCCCCTGCTCCCCTACCGCATCGTGGCACCAGCTGCTCTCCCCTTCTTTCCCTTTCTTCCTCTCTCCTTCGTTTACATCCATAATGAAGAATGCAAATTTTCTCTGGTCTCCAAGTTGGGAAGCTGACCTGGATGATTCAATGATGAATGAGGTTTTAGCTTTGAGACTTACAGCCCTTCATGGATCCAGACAGTAGGACAGAGGAAATTAGGTGCGGTAGAGTGTTAGAGCATTAGAAGAAAAGGCTCTTTTTTCCAGCTGTATGTGTAACACATTTTGTGGTTTGGGGATGAGAAATGACTGTGCCTTCCCACCCGTCATCAGCTCCCCGCCCTCACTGCCCACAGAGAGACGCGCACGAGCCATCTCCCTGCTCCGGGACACATCTCACCAAAAAGAAGTTATAGCCCCGCACCATGCTAAGACTTCAAAGCCATGATTCAAATGCAGAAAATATGATCAGGCCACACTCTGCTGTACTCAATTAGCTGCCTGCTGATGGGAAGCAGGGAGCGTATGGAAATGCAATCCATGGTGAACACCACCAGTACTTCTGATTTCGACTCCCATTTCCCATTTCCTCCACTGCCCCATCTTTATCCAGAGGGGCCAGTGGGTGGAAGGCCGAAAGTAATTTACTTCTTTTTTTATGCTTCTTGCACAAATGCCCAGAAATACCTGAAAGATTTTTGAAGTGGCTGAAAAAGGAAGAGGCAGGCAAAGGAGGAGGGCACAGCAATGTAGAAACTCAGGTTGGAGTCAAATCAGTTCCCCGGTTGTGGATAGTTTGCTAAACACGAACTATCCCAGCTTCCTGGCCACTCCAGGCACGTCTGTCCCTCTCCCTCTGGGCCTCACACACCTGAAATATGTACAGACACAAACAGGTGCAAGAAATCAAAGGGGGAGCATTCCACTAAAACCCCTGCTGTTTCCGGAACAGAGGAGTGGGATGGAGCAGAGACAGCTATGAGTGTGATTATCCCTCTACCTTCGATGTATAGAAATGGTCTTTACAGCCAAAGCTCTTTTCACTAGGGGCGAGCTGTATAGTATGAAGTCAGGGATCCCTAAGAGGGATGTATCATGCAGCCGCTATTCCTAATTTCTGTGGCTTCCCCATCTTCAGACACTCTGAAGCTGGGGTGTGGTGTCATGAATACAACACAGACACAGACAAATGAAGCCTAGTGTGAAAGCCGTGACTCCTGAAGATGCCCTCAATGAGGCCAGAGATCCATAACTCTCCCTTGTAGGCGCTGCTGAGATGTAGATGTTTGTACAAGTGCAGGTAGGGCCGACCCCACCACCCTTACCCTGAAGGCCCAGCGAGGTGGCATTTACCTGTCACTGGCCTGCATCCCTGTGCTGCAGCCCAGCCTCAGGTGCATGCCCTTCCCCCATGGCAAGGTGGCTTCTGAGGCAAGCCTTCATCTGCACCTCCTCTGCTTTCTCCCGCAGGTTCTGTTCAAGCTCCTCCTAGGCAGTGCTAAGTTCGGAGAAGCCGCCTTATTCTTGTCCATTCTGGGTGTGTTTAACATCCTCTTCATCACCTGTATTCCCGTCATCCTCTACTTTACCAAAGTGGAATACTGGAGCTCTTTCGATGACATTCCATGGGGAAATCTTTGTGGGTTTTCAGTCCTCTTATTGAGTAAGTGGCAATCCTCCCTGCCAAAATCCCCTCGCCACATCCCCCCAACAGAATCCCCCTTCCATCAGAATCTCCCCCACCCCCACTCAGAATCCCTCTGTCAGGGACGCCTGGGTGGCTCAGGTCATGATCCTGGGGTCCTGGGATCAAGTCCCACGTCAGGCTCCCTGCATGGAGCCTGCTTCTCCCTCTGCCTGTGTCTCTGCCTCTCTCCCTGTGTCTCTTATTAATAAATAAATAAAATATTTAAAAAAAGAATCCCCCCCCCCATCAGAAGCCATGGCTGATGAGCAGGACCTGGGCAGCTCCAGGGACATCTGGAAACCCAGGCCCTGGAGAAGAGAGGTGTTCCATTGTTATCCTTAACTTCCCAGCGCTTCTCCAAAGTAGTCTCTCCAAGTAAACCCTTTGTAATGATAACCCTGGATTCTAATTCCAGAACCACAGGCATGGCAGTGGTAGTGATGGTCACTGCCGCTCTGAATAGTACTGTGTGTGACCTATTGATGACAAACAGTCCTTACAGGACCCGGAGGGAGCTGGCAAATTATTGCGCGCAGAATTCTTAGAACATTGTCTTTAAGAGTGCGAGTAAAATGTTCTGTACAGTGCAAGTCAGTGTTCAGTAAATTTTATCAGTTATCATGACGATGAATAGAGTCACCACCATGACTTGCAGAAGGCTGGTCCAGGCAGGGAAGGGAGTCAGGGGTGCCTCCCCCACCTTCCATCTCAAAATGCAGAGCCCAGAGCACCTGTCCATCCTCGTCCCAGCATCACTGCCAGCAGCAGAGAAAAGCACAGTGTTAGTAGGATGAGTCAGATGGTCCCCGTCCTCTTTTCCAGTGCCTTCTCACTGACAGCCTTGTCCGAATTTCGTGTCCCTTCTTCAAAGCTCAAGGAAGAGAGGAAAGCTGATTAATCTGGATATTTGTCCCTAATCGCTGCCTTGCATCAGAGCAAAGGGCAGTAGTAGTAACCCCAGCCTCCCCTGAGAAGCTGGGGAGGGACAGAGCAGAGAGGATGCCAAATCCAGGGCCAGTAACGAATAATGCCCCTTTTCTGTTCTTTATTTCAGCATTCAATATTGTATTAAATTTTGGAATTGCTGTTACGTATCCCACTCTGATGTCTGTTGGAATTGTTTTCAGTGTCCCTGTGAATGCAGGTAAGCCCGTATAGCCTTCTCTCTCTCTGCTCCCAAACACACACACACACACACACACTCACACACACTCACAAACCTGTGCCGGGGCTTGCAGATACACATACTCACTCGCACTCTTGCCGTGCCTGATGTGGAAAGCACGTTTGACCTTCTGTGTCGGAAGGTAGCACTTAGGTAGAATGTCGGGGTATGTTAAATCAATGGCATTTCTCCAGAATGCGTTGCTTTTCACTTATCACCCCAAGGTACAGATGGTCTAAAGCCATCTCCGTTCTAAGTAGTGCAGGAACCAGAGATGAATGTCATTAATGCCAGGACTACATAAGGAAAATTAGGGAGCAAGAAAAAAGTTTGATTTTATTAGTGACTTTCCAGGGGAGAAAATGGGCTCAGGGTGTGACAGGGGTAGCGTTTGCAAACTGAAGAAGCATAAACATTATTCTCCACTTCCCAGAAGAGCGGGAGCCCTTTGGCCAGTTACTCGGGACCTTGCTTTGTTTCTGCTTGGGGACTCCTCAGTGCACTCACTTGGCAGCTCTTCCAAAAACTTGTCAGCTGCCTCTCTCACCTCCTTCCTTTTCCTGGCTTATTCTGGTGTTGATTTTGGCTTCTCTTCCCAGAGCCCTTTCCTCACACCTGGCAGCCTTGCTCTCTTAGCCAGAGAAGGGTGTGTGAATCAGTTCTCTCCATAGCACTCACCCTCTTGGCCTGGCATAGCCCCCTCCCCCAAAGCCATCTCCAGAAGCCTCCTACTCCCAGGTTTTTAGAGGATTCACCTCCGAGGAATGGCAAACGCTTATCTTATTCAATGTGGCATCAATAGGCAAAACAGCTCTCAATTTCCTAACCTTTTCCTGTGATTGGTTCCTCACCCATCCTGTTCCACATGTTCTGTGTATGCCTCACCCTGGCCCCGGACTCTTCTAGGGGTACCTCAGTGCCCCGGGGCATCGGGGCACTGTGCTCAGGCCAGCATCAGCTCTGCCCCCAACTTATCACTCCTCTGGGCCTTAGCTTGTCTCCCCTAAAAGTGAAGGCACTCAACATTTCAAAATTCTGAGAGCCCTGGAGCTCCTGAAGAGCTGGTAAAAAGTGGTACAATCTGCCAGGCTCCAGACACCGCTGCCTTCTGCAAAATAATTTATCAGCTATGCCCTATACCTTACTACAGCTTTATGGCCACAGCGATCTCATTGCAAGAAGGCATATGGCAGGTAGCTCTTAGGTGGATGCTCACTTTGTATCGCACAGCCAGGTGTTTGAGAGATTGATCAGAACCACTTCTTACTACTCACCTGCAACATAAGAGGTTTAATTATGTGTGAGAAAAGAATCACATTCAGTTCCCAACCAGAGGAGAGAAGGAAAGGGCTCTGCCATTACCAGAGCAGAGGCATGTTGTGGCTTTCCCACTCTCTGGTGTAGCTCACATGCCCTGCTAATTGACTATCCGCATCCATTGAATTAACAGAATGTTCTGTCATTATTAAAAATTCAAGTATTTTGGGACGCCTGGGTGGCTCAGTGGTTGAGCATCTGCCTTCAGTGCAGGGCATGATCCCAGAGTCTTGGAATTGAGTCCCATGTCAGACTCCCTGCGTGGAGCCTGCTTCTCCCTCTGCCTGTGTCTCTGCCTCTCTCTCTGTGTCTCTCATGAATAAATAAATAAAATCTTTTTAAAAATTAAAGTATTTCTGAATAACAGTGAGATAAAAGAGGCACTTTATTTTTTCTTTGAGGCTATGATTTTTATTGTTTTTTGTAGATTTTATTTAAATTCAAGTTAGTTAACATATAGTGTATTATTAGTTTCAGGGGTAGAATTTAGCAACTCACCAGGTGCATACAACACCCAGTGCTCATTCCATCATGTGCCCTCTTCAATGCCTGTCACCCAGTTACCCCATCCCCCCACTTCCTCTCCAGCCACCCTCAGTTTGTTCCCTAGTTTTGAGAGTCTCTTCTGGTTTGTCTCCTTCTCTGTTTTTATCTTATTTCTCCTTCCCTTCCCCTACATTCATCTGTTTTGTTTCTTCAATTCCACATATAAGTGAAATCATATGATACTTGTCTTTCTCTGCCTTATTTAAAGAGGCACTTAATTCCACAAAAGGGCTGCTAACAACAATTTTTTTCAGGTTTAACTTTTCCCGCTTTCTCTTTCTCTGCCCGCCCTGTAAACAAGGAGAGAGTTAGGAAGGGGGGGGGTTAGGGAGGCCAGGGAGGTGGAGGACCATCAGGGAAGACAGAGCCAGGCCACATCCTGGGCTGCAGGAGGAGGCCCACCCTGGAGACGCTGGCGGACAGCTGGCCAGCGAGGCGGTTTGCACAGTCTGCACACTCCAACTCAGCAAACTCTCTTTCACAAGATGATCGAAAAAGAAAAGCAGTTGGTGCCTTTTCTGCAGAAGGCAGGCTCCCAATTTGTTTTGCCTGGCTTAATTAAGAAAACAGGGAAATTAAAAAAAAAGAGAGAGAGAGAAGGAAAGATGAAAACCTTAAGATCCCCAATGGTTTTGACGATTTAGCTAGGAAGAGAATGCTGAGGGGGATTTTTATTAACTGACATTAATCCTGCTTCTCATGTCGTTGCCTCACCTGGTATGAGTCAAGGCATGAGCCATGTGCCCCATGGACCTTTAATAAACATTAATAGTCATGACTCAGGTGGCTTTAGAGCCTCGTGCTAATGATGCCCTGGGGCAGAACAAGAATTTATCTTTATTAGCTTCCAAAAACCAGGTTGAGTTTGGTCTTCAAACCATATATATGCATATATTGGGAAATAAGGCTTTTAAATTATAAATATATCCCTGATGGCGATATATGAAATGCAGAGCGTTTTCTCATGTGCTTGTTGGCCATGTCTGTATCTTCCTCTGTGAAAGATCTGTTCATGTCTTTTGCCCATTTCATGATTGGATTGTTTGTTTCTTTGGTGTTGAGTTTAATAAGTTCTTTATAGATCTTGGAAACTAGCCCTTTATCTGATACGTCATTTGCAAATATCTTCTCCCATTCTGTAGGTTGTCTTTTGGTTTTGTTGACTGTATCCTTTGCTGTGCAGAAGCTTTTTATCTTGATGAAGTCCCAATAATTCATTTTTGCTTTTGTTTCTCTTGCCTCCATGGATGTATCTTGCAAGAAGTTGCTGTGGCCAAGTTCAAAAAGGGTGTTGCCTGTGTTCTCCTCTAGGACTTTGATGGAATCTTGTCTCACATTTAGATCTTTCATCCATTTTGAGTTTATCTTTGTGTATGGTGCAAGAGAGTGGTCTAGTTTCATTCTTCTGCATGTGGATGTCCAACTTCCCAGCACCATTTATTGAAGAGACTGTCTTTCTTCCAGTGGATCGTCTTTCCTGTTTTGTCGAATATTAGTTGACCATAGAGTTGAGGGTCCACTTCTGGATTCTCTATTCTGTTCCATTGATCTATGTGTCTGCTTTTGTGCCAGTACCACACTGTCTTGATGACCACAGCTTTGTAGTACAACCTGAAATCTGGCATTGTGATGCCCCCAGCTCTGGTTTTCTTTTTTAAGATTCCTCTGGCTATTCAGGGTCTTTTCTGATTCCACACAAATCTTAAGATGATTTGTTCCAACTCTCTAAAGAATGTCCAGTGAGAATGGTGAAAATTAACAAGGCAGGAAACCACAAATGTTGGAGAGGATGTGGAGAAAGGGGAACCCTCTTACACTGTTGGTGGGAATGTGAACTGGTGCAGCCACTCTGGAAAACTGTGTGGAGGTTCCTCAAAGAGTTAAAAATAGACCTGCCCTACGACCCAGCAATTGCACTGCTGGGGATTTACCCCAAAGATACAGATGCAACGAAACGCCGGGACACCTGCACCCTGATGTTTATAGCAGCAATGTCCACAGTCTGGCTATTGTGGCTATTGTCCATCGACAGATGATGGATAAAGAAAATGTGGTCTATGTACACAATGGAGTTACTCAGCCATCAGAAATGACAAATACCCACCATTTGCTTCAACGTGGATGGAGCTGGAGGGTATTATGCTGAGTGAAGTAAGTCAATCGGAGAAAGACAAACATTATATGGTCTCATTCATTTAGGGAATATAAAAATTAGTGAAAGGGAATAAAGGGAAAGGAGAGAAAATGAGTGAAAATATCAGTGAGGGTGACAAAACATGAGAGACATCTAACTCTGGGAAATGAACAAGGGGTGGTGGAAGGGGAGGAGGGTGGGGGGTTGGGGTGACTGGGTGATGGGCACTGAGGGGGGCACTTGACAGGATGAGCACTGGGTGTTATGCTATATGTTGGCAAATTGAACTCCAATAAAAAATGTTTTAAAAAAAGAAAAAATAATAAATTATAAATATAAAACGTCATTGTAGAAGACGTGAAAAGTGCCAAAAATATGAAGAAAGCAATAATGTTTTCATCATCCTGCCACCCAGGGCATCCCGGGTGGCCCAGCGGTTTAGCGCCACCTTCAGCCCAGGGCGTGATCCTGGAGCCCTGGGATCGAGTCCCACGTCAGGCGCCCTGCATGGAGCCTGCTTCTCCGTCTACTGGGTCTCTGTCTCTCTGTGTCTCATGAATAAGTATCATCCTGCCACCCAGAGGTGGCCAAAATTAAACTTTGGGGCATATGTGTCTGTGTTTTTATATATATATATTATATATATATATATATATTATATATTTCCAACTGCCTGTTTGTTTTGTCTTTCATGCAAATCAATGTCTGAACTAAGGTGCCCGGTCCGTTGGGGAAGTGAAATGAAAGTGCCAGGCTTGGGATCCCTGGGGGGCTCAGTCGATGAGCATCTGCCTTTGGCTCAGGTGGTGATCCCGGGGTCCTGGGATCGAGTCCTGCATCAGGACCCTGCAGGGAGCCTGCTTGTCCCTCTGCCCGGGTTTCTGCCTCTGTGTGTCTTCCATGAATAAACAAATAGATACATATTCTTAAAAAGCCCCAGGCTTCACACCAGAGAGGTGTTGTAAAATTAAGAGGCAGCCCCCGCCCCCAGAGCGAAGCCACCCCAGGAGGATTCTGCGGTGGAGGAAGACCACAGCGACGCGGGCGCCTGGCCCCGGCCGCCGCCAGGTAACCCGCCTCCTCCCTCTTTCCCGCAGTGGTGGATCACTACACCAGTAAGATCGTCTTCAACGGGGTCCGGGTCATCGCCATCATCATCATCGGCCTGGGCTTCCTCCTCCTGCTCTTGCCGGAGGAGTGGGATGTCTGGTTGATCAAGCTGCTCACCCGCCTCAAGGTGAGGAAGAAGGAGGAGCCCGCGGAGGGCGGCGCAGACCCGGGCTCGGGGGCTCAGAGCAAAGCCAGAAGAGCGCGCCCCTCCTTCGCCCGCTGACCTGGGCTGCTGCAGAGCCCCGCGGCGCCCGCTCCCGCGTGTTAGGGACCTGGAGGTCTGGCCCTGACAGGGGACCCTCAGTTTGGAACGGTGTGTACATACCTGTACAGTTCCGGTAATCTGCGGTAAGTTATACGGTATTTATTGGCATGTCCAATTTGCTTGCACTTTTTCCACATCAGACCTTTCACCTAAGGGTACCAATCCAAAAGGAAAGGGAAAAGAGGAGCCTCTGGGCCCTTTTGAAATGAATGTAAAGCCGGTTAAAATGATCCTTGCGTAGATTGTTCGGGATGACAAGAGGCGGGCCAAGAGGTTTGAAACTTAGCAACTGCAAATTACATTGCACACTGTGATTATTTTTCAGCTATGGTAGGTCCTATTTTGTTTTATACCAGAGCTGTACTCTTAATTTTAAGGGATTTCAAAGAACCAAAAGATAACTGTAAATTAATCTGGGTGGATGGAGGGATGGAGGGATGGAGGCAAAGAGGTGAAGTAGGAAAGCAAAGAGGACTTCAGAGCCCACCGACCGTGGCTAACCTGGGGTGGCAGGTGGAGGAGGGCAGGCCCGGCCAGGTTACAGAAAGGGAAGGAGGAGCCCGAGCCCCCCGCTGGCCTGCTCTTCCGTGTGTGTAAGATCGTGCAAGAGAAATTACAGTGCCTTCTACAGAATTTTTGTCCTTACCTACGTGAAGCGAGGTGACATTATAAGTCACTGGCGCCGTCTTATCATTTCGATGTACAAATCTTTAGAAACAAAACTATATATGTGTGTGTATGTGTACAAAAACGACAAGCTGATGACCAGTGTAACAGAACACGGTGAGCAGTGTGCAATGCACATACAAGGTAGACTAGGCAGGACGTGAATTGCTGGTTGCTTTTACTCCATGACCACGATCGAAAAATTATCTACTGAATCTGTACACCTTTTTATGAAACTTTTAAAGCACCAGGCTGTTTACTTATACAATTTAGATCTGCCAGAAAATTCTATCTGTGATAGATCTGTCAAGAGGGACACAGGGGGTTAGAGTTTACTATTTTTGAAGTTTACATTGTTACATACGAAATGGAAACCTTATTTTGAAATGTTGTCATAACCCAATGGTGCACTCTGTAACCATGGAGTCTTTCGTTTCGTAGGGGGAAGGGGCATTCCTGACCTGAACTTTTTAGCAAATTATTATTCTCAGTTTCCATTACCTGTTTGGCCAAACAGATTAATAAACTATTTAAAAAAGAAGCATTTCGAGCTGTGTTGGTGGCCACTTTGCTGCAGCCTTGCTGTGCCGCTTTGACCCTCGCCTTACACTTTGCTCCCAGCAGGTCCCACCCTCCTGCACCTTCGTCCAGGCACGACAACCCACCCAGCCACCCTAGGGGAAGAAATTCATATCGTAACAGCAGTGGTGACTGTCCCAAAAGCAAAATGCAAAAACGGTCAGCTGGGCCTCATAAAAAAGTCTTGAGCGGCATTTCCCTCTACTGTCTTCTCATTGTCTCCCTGTCCCTCCCCCTAGGGGCTTGCCTCACCCCCAACCCCTGCCACCCCACTTGGCTCTGGGTGTTGCTGCTGTGTCTCATTCTTCCGCACAGACTGGTTCCTCAGCTCTGCTGGCGTTGGGGCCCTCAGAGCTGCCTCCAAGTGGCAGCCTCAGTCCCGGCGTTGACATGGTCCTCCCGCTCCACCCCGTGCCTCCCTTCCACCTGAGCATCCCAGCCTAGTTCTAGCGCTGTAGAGAATTTGGGTAGCAGCCCCAGTAGCATGTACATTTCTGTTCCAGGCAGCTGCAGCCAGAGGCTGGGAGGCCCAATGTTTCTCATCCTGCAGCTGCAAACAGCAGCGTTCTCTAAGTGGGACGGGGCTGAGCAGAGAAAGGACGGCGAGCCTCTTTTAGGACATCTCATCCTTCCAGCCACACCTCTAGCGACCAAACACCAGGCATCCCTTGCTACATGGGGTCAGAACTGGTGAGCTGAGCTGTCCAGAGCAGAGAGCTCCCTGCCTGGTGTGTCCAATGTGTGCTGTGAGGGGGATCCTCCCCCATCCCCTTAGTGGAGCCTGGATGAGTCACCTCCATGACTCTGTCTGGGTTCTAGACCCCTCCAGTTACCTTGGGTGGGCAAACAAACATCCCCTACGTAAGCCACGACATGAAAAAGTTGGGAAACTGTATGCCCGAGTAGGTGTACCTCATTCTCCTGTTTGGCATAAAAGACATAAAGGCGTAAAAGAATTGGAAACAGAGCTTCAAAGGCATATTTGTACACTCTGATCATAGCAGCCTACTCACAGCAGCCAATAGGTGGGGCAACCAAGTGTCCATCAGCAGCTGAATAACCAAATGTACACATAATGGAATGGTATTCAGCCTTTAAAAGGGGGGGGGATTTCTGACCCCATGCTACAACATGGATGAATTTTGAAGACATAATACTGAATGAAATAAGTCACAAAAGGCCAAATCTATGATTCCACTTATATGAGACACCCAGAATAGTCAAATTCATAGACATGGAAAGTAGAATGGTGGTTACTAGGGGCTGGAAGTGAAGAGTTATCATTCAGTGGGGACACGGTTTTAATTTCATAAAGATTAAGTCCTGGAGGTGGACTGTGGTGATGGTTGCCCAACAATGTGAATGTACTTAATGCCATTGAACTGTATGCTTAAAAATGCTTACATGGTAAATTTTATGTATATTTTATCATGATAAAAAATACTTGGAAGGTAAGGAATGTGAAATAAAATGGTTAAAATTCTCAGAATTGGTTAATGTTCCTTTCAGGAATCAGGTAGGGGAGATTTGAGAGATTTCTTTCCAGAAAGGATACAAACCACAACCTCCCACCCCCACCCCAGGCAGGTTTCGAGGACTGGGATGAGCTGTGGCCAAGTGGAAAGTGATCTCTGGAGAGAAAGATCCCAGAAAAGAGTCCCTCCCAGTGGAACCATGGGGTGACTTGGGGAAACAGCCTCCATCCCCGCTCTGTCTGGGGAATCGTCTGCCCTCTAGAGGCCAGTCTGGATAGCAATGAAAGAATTCTGTTTTTACTCCTTTGAGGAGTCCAAATGAAGACAAAAGTACAAAGAGGATAAGTGGCCTCTGCTGCTGACCAAGGTGCCAAAGACTCTCGGAGCCTCCACTCCTACCTTCTTTGTCAAAATATGGTCATTTGGAGCCAGAGGACGCGAAATGACCAGCTGCCTTGCCACAACCAGTCAGAGCTGGCTCTAAGGACTCATACCTGCTCACATCTGCTGTGCAGATGCTCAGGATAGAGACTCAGGAGAGAAGAAATTGTTGCCAGAGACATACCACCCTGTAGAACAGGTGTGTTTCCAAATCTAGCCAAGGATGCATAATAGCGAGTTCTTCATATTCAATTTTGAAAATAAATGATTTGTTCTAAAATTGGAATGTGGTGGTGGTTGCACAATTCTGTGACTATTCTAAAATCCAATGAGTTGTATACTTTAAATGGAGAATTTCATGGCGTGTGGATTATGTCTCAATAAAGTGGTTTAAAAAATAAATAGATAAATGGTTGCCCCACACAAAATGAGTTAAAATCTTACAAGCAGAGAGGACATTTCCTGGGTCATTGGCTTGTTTTTGGCTGCCCAGCATGTGATCCCTATTTGAAACAGCATGTTCCATTGTTTCAGAAGCTGGAGGGAACAGATGCTCCATCTCAGACCCACCACAGTCCAGAGGAGGGAAGGAGGGTTTCCCTGCTCGTGGCCAGCAGGCTGCAGTCTCCCAGGACTTTGGTTCTGGAGCAAGAGATGCCAGACCCTGGAGGGCTGCACTGACCAGCCTGTCCCCAGGCTTTCTGCCAGTGCCCCAAGCCCCTTCCAGTGTGGAGATCGGTGGTTGCTTCTCCTTTCAAAATAGATCTTTCCAACTCGCACTCCCACAGATCCTTCCCATGCAACCAGGTTTGTGATAGCCCAGCAAGACTCCTCGGTCAAACTGCTTTAAAGAATGAATAGGAATGACCTATAAGAAATGCATCAATGATATCTAAATAAAGAGGATGTAAAAATTCACAATGCTTAAAACATTTTAAAGAAATTTTGAACTATAATATTTTTTCTTACATATTTTCTCATGTATTCAGCTTTGTCAAATTCTTGAGAAAACTCTTTCCTTTTTTTTTTTTTAAGTAATGTCTGCACCCAATGTGAATCTCGAACACAAAACTGTGAGATCAAGAGTAACATGCTGCCCTGATTTAAAGCAGCCAGGTACCCCAAGAAAACCCTTTTCTAGAGTTAAAATACTCAGCCGAGTAAACATGAGCCAAGGTCAATCTTTTCTAAATTATAAAAAAAATGAGTTACTTAAACCATAGGAAATGAGATTTCATGTAATTACATTGTAATGAGTTGTGGATTTTAGTTAAGAACAAAAAAGGGTAATTTTTGTTTTTGTATTGGAAAAAGAATGTTTCTTGGGAAAATTTGGAAATACCCATGAAGCCTCAAGCCAGAAATAATGCAATAATACAATAATGTGGATATATCAGGAGCCTCAGTAACAGTGATAGCAGGAGCCCTGTGATAGAGAAGAGTGGCCCCAAAGGGAACCCTCAGGTGCTTTCTCTCTGAGAGTGACATGAGGACGTAAGAAGCTAAGCGTACCTACTTGGCTTTTGATTTGTCTTTGTATCTCTATAGATAGGCATCCTGAAGAAGAGGCTCTTCACCATAAGAAAAAAATCAGAGGAACTTAAAAACCGCCAGAAGGACATTCCAGGAATCCCCAGTGTTTGTTCCTTATTAGAAATAGAAGACCAGCTGGCCCCCTAATGCCTTCAATTTCTTAGGAATCTACCAAATGCTGATGATGTGGGGAACATCAGAGACTAAGGAGAAACTACAGTTGACCCAGGGTCTTCATAGGACCCTGTTTATGCCCACCTGCGGCAGTATGCCTGAGGGGAGAGGTGGCACTGTGTAACACCGGGTGCCATCGTATACATGCCTGCTGAGTAGCTCAAACTCCTTCATGTCCAAAGTATATTCCTGGTTGCCAGAGAGCTCTCCCCTGAGCAGTGACTCTGGGACCCAGACCCCTTCCGTGTGGCTCTTCATCTTCAACATGCAATTTTAAGATGGCAAAGCCCATCAACAGGCTAGAGAGGAGAGTCCTGAAAGTAGCTAATCTCACTTCTGCTAGAAGTTCAGGAAATGAGTCCATTTGATGGACCAGGAAAGGGGAAATATGGGTACAAAGAAAGAAAAGCTAGTAGTATATCACTATGATATTCTTTTTTTTTAAGAATTTTTATTCGTTTATTTGAGAGAGAGCACTAATCAGGTGGGGGAGGGCAGAGGGAGAGAGAGAAGCAGACTCTACACTGAGCAGGAGCCCCATGCGGGCCCCATCCCAGGACCCAAGTTGGAAGCAGGCACTTAACTGACTGAGCCACCCAGGTGCCCATATGTGTTCTTTTTTCAATTTACACCTCTTTCTCAGGGATTAGAGTTTGTTTTCTTAAATCCCTCAACCACCCTTCTCTTGCACCTCTGTTTATAAGAACTGTGAACTTAGTTATATCAACTATATGATATAACTGATATAACTCAGTGTTTCTTCTTCCTCCCTGTTCTCTGATTTCATCTCCATTGAATTTGTGGAACACTTCTTTTATAATCTGGAGTGTGTAGAGCAGGAAGCCCTGTGGGGATGCTGGTAGTTCAGCACCTGTCTAGGATTTCACAAATATCTGTGCTTTGCAGGTAGTCCTCCTGAATGGCATGGCGCCAGATGGTCCCTGTGTGGTGTGGGTGTACGTGCACATGTGCACTTGCTACATTTACTATAGGCTCTTGATTAGTACCTCTTTCCGGCAATTAGGTTATTTCTATTTGTTTAGAAAAAATTGTCTTTAAATAAATCATCCACAAAAAACTAATCACTACATAAAAATCACAAATTTTGAATAAATGATACTATTTAGGACTGGATATTGACTCATCCAGCAGCTACTACACAGTGACCATGTATGAAAGCCCTGGTGTTTTTCTCCAAAGCTTAATTTTTAAAAACTAAATCTTACTGTTAGCACCTATTTAAAGTTCAAAGCCCATTTGGATGAAGTTCAAAGCCAGATTTGGCTTACCTGAGGACATTATTGCATCAAAGCTTTTACAGGTTAGTTTCGGATTTCTAGACTTCTCCTAAATTCTAGGTTTTATCTGTTGTAGACTATTTGGTGTAATATTTCCAAGAACTTAGCAAATAACCTATGTTCTGCTATCTTTTATCCTACAGGAACTTCTATTAGAATTTTAGATGCCAAAAGGTAGCTTAAAAAATGTGATCAAGACTCTCAGCACAAGATGAATGAAAAGATTTTGAAGGCAGAGACAGTAAAGACATCTGCTTAAATGTCAACTGCTAAGATTAATCAAAATCCACAAAATGCTATGAAACTCTGATCCTCAGGGTTGTCAGGGATAGGTTTGTGAACGCAACTTGCAATCTGCAGAATGTTCTATGGCTCTAATAAGTAATTATCAAGGGACTTGCCCAAGCCCATGTGGCCAGGAGAGGCAGAGCAGACTGCTTTCCTCGACCCCTCCCCCTTTGGTTTTTGGGGAGACCGCACTTAGAGGGAAAGTTTCTAAGGACAAGCTTCTCCACTGAGTGATTTTGTCTTGGGCTTTCCTGGAAGCATGACAAATAGGAAGGTCTCCTGGGACTTTGAAAGATCTCATTTAGCATGAAAGCTCTGTACAAGCTAGGAATTTTCTACAAATGCCTTCATGCCCACAAAGTTCCTTTCTGTTATTGATTTCTAACTGAAGATAATGGTAGGTTTTTTGCCACCCCAGCAAAATTACAAGGCTGCCCATCGCTGACATCTCCTGTCAACTTGTCTGCTGTCATGGACCCCATTCCTTTTCTTTCCCTTCAACTCCCAGTTCTATCTTATCCAGTGCTTCTGCTTCTGCTCCACTGACTGCACTTCCCTTTGCATACAACAAACACTACAACCCAAAACAATAGCAAGAACAATCACTATTTGTATATGTTTCCGACTCAGCAGGCATTTACAAATGTGCTCACTCACTCAGGCATGGTTCCCATAGCTCTTCCTGGACCTTACTGACCCATCTCTCCCCTCTATGACCCTACCTGTGGGACATGCCCACTTGTTTATATTTCTGAATACACTGGCATAATACACTCAATCCACCTTGCTTAGAACACTCAGAAATGGAGGTGTGACAGCCCATTCATAATCCCTACATTGCCCTGAATGAAGAGTACATTTGTTTGGAAGATTAAATTTGCAACACTAAAAATGTATCATTCAGTCTTACACTTGGATGCATTCAGCACATTGGTGCCACTTTACCATCTCTGTGTCTCTAGTCCTAACTCTCTTTCCCTTGGCGGCTAGTCTTTGTCTTCAAATTCCTAAAAAATAGAAATCTCATCAGGCAGAGGTATAGCAGAAGAATGCTGTGGTTAATAACATGGAATTTAGGGACAGATAGAACTGAATTCAAATCCCAGCTCTACAATTTATAGTGTTGTGACCATGGGCAAGTCACTTGACATGACTGAGCTTTCTCACCTGTCAAGAATAAAAACAGTCAATGATACACTGGACCAGATGGATTTCACAGATATCTACAAAACTTTACATCCAAACTCAACTGAATACACATTCTTCTCAAGTGCACATGGAACTTTCTCCAGAATAGACCACATACTGGGTCACAAATCGGGTCTAAACCGATACCAAAAGATTGGGATCGTCCCCTGCATATTCTCAGACCATAATGCCTTGAAATTAGAACTAAATCACAACAAGAAGTTTGGAAGGACCTCAAACACATGGACGTTAAGGACAATCCTGCTAAAAGATGAAAGGGTCAACCAGGAAATTAGAGAAGAATTAAAAAGATTCATGGAAACTAATGAGAATGAAGATACAACTGTTCAAAATCTTTGGGATGCAGCAAAAGCAGTCCTGAGGGGGAAATACATCGCAATACAAGCATCCATTCAAAAAATGGAAAAAACTCAAATACAAAAGCTAACCTTACACCTAAAAGAGCTAGAGAAAAAACAGCAAATAGATCCTACACCCAGCAGGAGAAGAGAGTTAATAAAGATTCGAGCAGAACTCAATGAAATCGAGACCAGAAGAACTGTGGAACAGATCAACAAAACCAGGAGTTGGTTCCTTGAAAGAATTAATAAGATAGATAAACCATTAGCCAGCCTTATTAAAAAGAAGAGAGAAAAGACTCAAATTAATAAAATCATGAATGAGAAAGGAGAGATCATTACCAACACCAAGGAAATACAAATGATTTTAAAAACATATTATGAACAG